TTTAAATACATGATGTAAAGCTAAGCACCATCAAACTGGTTGATCCACTATGAGAAGGTGTTATTTATAAGACTGGGTTTGTTGCAGCTCCTCAGACTGAAGAAGTCATTTGGATAAAAGACGAAATGTTTCGACAAGAAGAAACTGTCCAGAGGACCTGACTCAACCTTGTTAGATTTTTCTACCTGGATTATTCAGCATGAATCAGGATACCTACTGTATATATGGATGACTTTGTTTTTGTCAAAGGTAACTGCAGTCCTATTTCTTATTTTCATTTCTGGTAGCTGGATAAGTTATCATTATACAATTTTTGCATCTTAATAATTATATTCAAAGTTTGGTTTATTTATTTCCATCCCGTCTGCCTGAATTAGCAGTCAAAATGCCTCATGCCAAGCAGCTAACTTTGTTTCCGCAGGGGGCTCAGCAACTGAAAAAGTTTCAAAGTTTGCAGCCCCCTCTCATGCAGGAGAGGTCCGGACTGAGTTTCCTAATTAGAAGAATTTGATGTGCCTTTTTAGATATCCTAATCTCAAGAACGTGTGTTGCAGAAAGGAATGAAACACATCTTGTCTACATTTGTGTATTTGGGTTCACGTAGGCTTGGTTGGACACATTTTCACTCACTTCCGTGCACAGACTCCTTGTTTCTGTCTTCAGACATTTTCGTATCTGCTTGAGTTATCGCTCAGCAGGGTGCTGGTCTTACCGTGTGGTGTAGCACTGCACAGCATGTCTGTAAGTGTGTGAAGACAGCATCCTCACCCACTTGTCTTCTGACACCAGTTCTCCTCAATAACAAGTGGCAAAGAGTGAAGAGAATTCTGTGAAAGATTTACAAGCCAGCAGAGGTGGTTTCCCTCAGAAGCTGAGGGAAAGCCAGTGGTTGGAGGCAATTCAGAGGGAGGGCATTCCGAGGAGAATCCTTATGCGTCTGAAGTGTGATTTTGCATTCATAGAAGAAATTTAGGATTCTGCTGCTCAGCAATGAGCATTCTCACAGAGGTGGATTTTTGCAGAATGTTGTTTATCTCTATCTCTATCTCTGTTGAGTTTGATGAGCTGGCAGAGGAAAACTACCTTGATAAAACCCACCAAACAATTCCAACAATCAGCTCAATAGGGAGAAAGTTTTAACAGGTCATTCATTACACAGAGGCAAAGTCTCAGTCACGTGGAGAAATGTGGATGGAGATTCTGAGGTGAAGCATGCAGAAACACCTGACTACAGCAAACACTTGAACTGATTCACTTTAAACCCAGTGAGCAAATGAGTCCAGAAACCTTGACTCGTCAAGGTTTAGGCTCGTCTTTCAGTAGCGTTGCAATTAAAAACCATCAAAGGTCAGTTTACTGGGGAAAATTTTGTTTTTAAAAAAGCTAAATAATCCAGTGGCACAGCATTTTTATGTGTATTGGTGCACAGGCCGGTGTTGTCAGCCTGGCTTAGAATGAAACATCATGAGGGGCCGAGATGGGGTAGAGGCAGGGCAGCAACTCAGGACCTGAAAGTCCCAGGTTCAATCCCCAGTCATTGCACATCTTGTGGTGTCTCTGAGCAGGACACCCTATCCCTAATTGCTCCCCAGGTGCCCTTAATAGCTGCCCACTGCTTCACCTGAGTGTATCCCAGGTGCGATGGGTTAAATGCAGAGAGCCAATTTTGCCAACATACAATGATGACAACACATAGCACATGAAAGCAGAACCCCTCCGGTCTACCAAAACTGATATGAATGTAGTTTAATGTTTTGCCTGAGCTGCCATGACACTTGAAATTAGCTTAAACTATAGGTTCACATCTGGGTGAACCAATTTGACTCCTAAACAAAACAATTCAGGTCATTACTTTCAGAGTTGCACCTTTTTCATAAGTTGAATGTGAAACTTGTTTTATGTTCCTCTACTCCAGTTTGTTTGTTCTTCCTGTAGCATTTGAAACATATCAAGAGTCATGTTGCTTTTTCCTGTCAGTGCAGCCAGGGAATATGACACCAATCATATAATTAGCTTAAGCTGCCTTGCAACCAGAGCTACATATTTATCAGCACTTTATCTGGTGTCACAGTTAAGTGAAGAGTCAGGAATACTGACAGCTTCTCTTTCAAATCAACACGAGTTGCTTAAACCAGAAAAATCACAGGAGTAACTGCAGGTCAAAACAGTATCTATGGCGTGGCTGCACTGGGTGCTCTGTTATGAAATCATTCCTTACGGGGGAAAAGGTCAGAGACCAATTTAATGACTTATATAAATGCTTAAAAAATGATTTGCAAAAATGCAAGGCAAAATATCAGAGGCAAATATCATATTATTGAGCATGGACTTTGTTGTAAGGCAAAATACTTACTAAACTCTGGTGATTGGGTATCAGTTTTATTTAGGCACAAAGTTTTATTACGTTCTATGAATAATTAGCACGTAAAATGGGGCGTGCCAGGGCTGAAGCTCCCTCTTGTGGTGGCTTAAAGATCTTGTAACCTAACAGAACTCCAAACACACCAACAAAAGCACGGTTAGCTGCAGCACTGTTATAAAGACTAGAAGAAAAATAGCAGAGCAAAAACCCAATCTCCACTTGTTTTTCCTGTCTACATACAAGCTAGCAGTCACAGTAAGCTGCTACATTATTGATATCATGTCATGAACCACAAAAGTTGGAGCGCAGCTCTATGAAACACGTCACAATAAACTCAGCAGGGAATCCAGAGCTTTCCAAAACAATGCAGCAGCAACTTATTTTGTGCATGCCCACTATCACTTTGTGTCCTACAAACCCAAAGCATGTTGCTACTTTTACCATTTATCACCGCTTTATCCTGATCTTGTTGCTGTTAGATTTTGATCTTGTGCTGAAATAGTTAACAACCAAGAGGAAGCTGTAAATTATTTCAAAGACAAAAACTTGGGGCAAATCTTTAGGCCCTGAAAAAGGTTCTTTCTTTTTTATTTGATTTGTCATTAATATGGCTTGGGTATGTCAGCATGGAAATGTGTGAATGGAGCGAATAAAATAATAGAGATAGTAATATACATGGCACGGTGGCACAGTTGGTAGAGATGTCCCCTCTCAGACTGAAGGTTACCAAATTAAATCCTGCTCCGAGACGCTTCTGGGTTAGCCCAGAAGCCCTGCCCACTGCCAGTACCCACCCCCACTCAGCCTGATACATGAGACCACATTGTTCGTGGTTCCAAGCGGACTGCTATGAGGTGCCAATGTTGACATTAGCAGGCAGCAGCCATTGACTGGCCAGCAGAGATGCGTCATTGGGCGATCCGCCCAGCAAAACTGCAAACTACATCTGAACTGCTACTTCCACATCCTGTTGACGGACAGCGCCATGAGCACATTTATGGAGAGATATCAGAGAGGATGGTACATGGCTACACCCGGACACCACTACAAGCAGTGCTGGAATAAGCTAAAGAAACTGAAGTCCAATTACAGGTTGATTAAGAACCACGATGGGCAGAGTGGTTCAAACAATCAATCAACCTTTATTTAAACAGGTTAATCCCATTGAGCCTCAAGGATTTATTTACAAGAGAGACCTGATTTCAACAAAGAATGATGACAACAATGGACAACAGCAACAACAATAGACAATTATAAAAAGGCATACAGATTTTTTGTTTTTACAAATAAGATGGCAAAAAAAGTAAAAAAAAAAAAAAAACCAGTTAGATTATAAGGCGAATGTAGAAAACTAAAAACAGGAACATGTCTGCATTGGTCCCTGCCAGGAGTCCACCAGATTCTTAAAGACACTTAGAGAGGTCAAGGTCGAGAGCTTCAGGTCTTTTTGCAAGATATTCCAGGAAACAGGAGCGGAATAGGAGAAGGCCCTTTTGCCTAGTTCAGTCCTCACTGAGGGAACACTGCAGGTAATAATGTCCTGAGAGCGCACGTTGTAGCTGCACTCACGCAGAGACAAGTAGGAGGAGATGTATGAAGGCAGCAGACCAAGAAGTGATTTAAAGATGTAAATGTACCAGTGAGAGAGTCTGCGTGAAGTTAATGATGTCCAGTTAACCAGTGAATACAGGGTGCAGTGGTGGGTACGATAATCACAGCCAGTTATGAATCTTAGTGCACCATGATAGACAGCATCCAACATCTGCAGGGTTCTTGTAGGAGCGTTCATGTAAATAATGTCACCGTAATCAATGGAGGGAAGGAAAGTCACAGATACAAGGTGTTTTCTAGCATTCAGGGTTAGACAGGATCTGTTTCTGAAAAAGAAACCCAGTTTAACTTTCAGTTTCTTTACCAAGTTTTCCACATGGAGCTTTAAAGAGAGATGCGAGTCGACCAAACAAACACAATGACCTGTTAAGATACAGCTCACTTTGCATTGACGATCCTGCCCACAGAGCAGAAACAAGTCACAGTGGCCAATCACCTACACCTGAGAAGAACCGATAAGACAGCGTCTTATCAATAACTTATCAATGGAAAAGCAGCTTATTTGTAGTAAAAAAAAATGTTGTTCCTGAGACTCTTGTAATATCGCCATTTTTTTTTTTGTCACCATGTAAAATTATATCCTGTTAAGAGTGTCAGTTTACTGTAAAGACAGTCAAAAGTAATTCTACTCATCCACTGACTGATCAGTGGTGTCCGCGTGCAGGAGTGGAATCATGAGGCGCATGAGGGCCAAGGTGGGAAGCTCAGAGCTAGGTAGCTGGGACGGTGCTTCCTCGTGAGCGCCGAACGTGCGCGCGCTCTCTCCACCCCACCGACACCTCAGTGAACTCTGCAGCTCCACGAGACAGACATGCAGTTCGGGACGCACAAAAACAGCGAAGAAACCAGCAGAATATGCTCACCGTCACCGACGGCCATCAAATGACACCAAACCACGTGCCGGAAGGTTTAACTCGCCTGGCTCTGACGCGCCTCTGAGCTGTGCGCGCGCCGGACCGACTCGTTAACAAGTGCAACTCTTTAACCGTCCGTGTCCGTGTCCGTGTCTGGACCCACTGGCTGTAAAATGAGATTGGGAAGCATCGTTGTATTCGTCGCTCTCTGCTCTTTGACCGCTTATTATATTTATGAACCCATTCCAGAGGAGATCGAGGAGCGATGGAAACTCATGCTGACCAATTCTTTCTTCAGAACCCTCAGTCACCTGGTGAGACCAAACTTTTATTTTTATCTGCTTTTTTTTTTTTTTTTTTTTGCCCCACCTTTTTGAAGTAAAATATAGCATCAGTCCAGGTTTATTTACTTTAGAGTTCAGATTTAAGTTTATTCTAAAGAGTGAAATTATTCAGAATGTGCATTTGTGTTGTTTGTTCTGTGCAAACAGGTAAGCATGCAGGTTGAACTTTGTTTTTGTTTTTTGCTGATGTAGATATACATGCTGGTTACACCAGATTATGCCAGATGCTAATCCATGCGTTCCATAGCTCACCTGCTCTAATATTAGATCCTATTAAAGGAACTCGCATGAGATGCGTGCGCTTCGCAGGACATAACGGTCCAGCAGATCTATTTTGTCGTTTTGAAACGGAACGTGTTTGTGCATGAGTTGGGCATTGTTGTTTGTCACAAATATATATTTGTTGCTGTTTGTTTGTTTGTTAAGCCACGTTGCAGCCAAAGTGGAATAGAGAAGCATTAAGTAGCTGAGGCTGCCTCAAACACAACTTTGTTTTATTTAATTATATGAATCACTTTTACAGCCTATAATATTTAAACGAGATTAAACTAAAATGTGCAGCAATCTGCGATAAACTATGGTGCATTTACAAAAAAAAAGTGTCCTTTTGCGTAATGAAGCGACTGATAAATGTCCCTTTTTATATAAGTGTTCTCTGTCAGGGAAATAAAATAGTCCGTGACCCCTAATTCACCCATCCAGGGCCCCAGAACAAAATAGTGGCAATACATCAAGTTTTCAAGGCATGGTTATTAAAGGAAATGTAATATTCTAACATTTTTTTCCTGTTTTTTCTGAACAATTTGTTCAGTTTTAAAACAAGGAGGGGGAATAACTGTTATGTTACACACTAAATTCCCAGTTGATTTAACTGGATCCAGTTCTTTCAAGTGTATTTGTATTTTCCTTAAAATGATCAGATCCCTGTCTCTGAAATGGTTTTGTCAGGCTCCAACAACGTTCAGTCAGATCATCTGGACGATTTCTTTTTTTGTGCTGAGACGTTCCGCCTTCCATCCAGAAGGCTTCATCAGTCTGAGGAAACGCCAAACAAAACTGATTCTCTCCCAACAGCTTAGTCCAAAGTGGGATAAAAAACCAAAACAGTTATGTTGGTGCTAAGATGGTCTCTGGGGCACACCCTCCCCTCCGGTGCCTGCCCTCTCCCTCGTCGACAGTCATGTCATACTGGTTCAAAACACCAAAGTCCATGCTCAATAATCCAGGTATAAAATCCAACAATGTTCAGTCAGGTCATGTGGACGGTTTCTTTTTTTTTTTTGTGTGTGTGTGTTGAGACATTTCACCCTCCATCCAGAAGGCTTCATCAGCTCCATTGTTGGATTTTACACATGGATTATTGAGCGTGGAGTTTGCTGTTTTGTCAGGCTGATGTAAGCGCCTGCTCGTTCACGATGTGAAGCGCTCTGTGAAACCGGATGACTGCGATGGGTTTGTCGGGGTGAATGTGGATCAGCTGATTGGCTCCTTCATGCTTTCGTAAATAAATCTTCAACTGTGATTTCTCCAAGTAGATAACCTTAGGGAGCTGCTGACATTTTCTTAGGCAACGTTCATGTGACTCTTCGTTTCATCTCAGACCTTTCTGTGATGCAAATAAACGCATTTCTTCAAACTAACTGTTTTCATCAGATGGGCTGGGTTGCAGCTTGTTTACTTTTAAAAGGATTAAATATGAAACACATAAATCTTCACCTTATATCATTTCTGTTTCCCTTTTCCAGGCGGACCTCAGTGAATTAGTGGGCCTGAAGGACTACATGGACGTAATGTATGCCGTTACTCTGATAGAAAGGATTGTACCTGTGTCTGATGAACGTGTGCAGGTGACAGAAGAAAGGTTTGATGGAGTGGAGGCGGTGGTGTACCAGCCAAAGCTCCGAGGCGGCGACGCCGATCTCAGGAGAGCTGTCATTTACCTGCACGGTGGAGGATGGTGTCTGGGGAGTTCCCGTAAGTTCACAAAGACATCACAGCTCTGAGATTTGAGAGATGGCTACAGAGGTAACACACACTGATGCCATGTGCCCATCAAACAACAATCTCTTTGCATTTTTTGTAAAGTGCACTGGAAATTGACTGGTAACGTAAAACATCAATCTGACACATTTTATGCTTCTTCTGAACGGTTTATCAATCACAGAAAGAATCTTGTATCAGAGGTTTCACATTCAGATCAGATGTGTCCTGTCAGGACTGCATACGTCTGTTGTGGTCATTCTTATTCCTTTAAAATCACTTATTTAAAGTCTGCTTGTTTTTACAGGGATGAGTCCATACGATCTCCTGGCAAGACAAATAGTCACTGAGCTGAACGCAGTAGTTCTGTCTGTAGAGTAAGTACTTCACTGTCAGTCGTTACTACAGCCATGTAAAACGTTTTCCTCACAAAACAAGTTTCAAGCACTAAATGTGCTGAATGTGGTGTACAGAGTCTCACTGAGCTACACATTCCCTCCCTTTTATATATTTTCTGCCTGCCTTCTTTCAGTAACTCTCCTATTTTCTGCAGCTACTTTCAAAGGATAGTTCAGATCTTTTGAAGGTTTTTTTTCAAGGTTATGAACAAATAACATCTTACCTGTTTTTAGATAGCTTGTTGAATAATCTAATTTTGGAGGAAAATATGTTTTCTGACCAGGATGTGGAGCTAATGCCCTGTCTGATTAGATAAGGATTTGCTTGTGAACACTGAGTCTACAAATATTGTCAATTTTAATTGGCAGAAATCTCATGATATTCCTGCCAGAAGTGCTGCAGGCTGACGTGGAAGTGCTACTGCTTGTTGCCGCTGTTTGTGCTTGCAAACGATCACAGAATTTTACATACGTTTTAAATAAAAAATACTCTTCAACCTCTTCAGTAATTATTTTTTCAAATATCTCACTTCGCATCCCTTATGTAAATGTGATGCAGTTTTAAAGCAGTTTGAAGGTAGTTCCATGGATTGCTGTGAAACGTTTGAGAATGGATTAGTTTCTAGAAGGCAACACTTTGGTTTTGACCCGTTTATTACCTTTCCATAGAAGAATGCTTCAAATGATCTGAACTATCCCTTTAGGAATGAAAGCAGCTCATTAAGCCAAGACGTTTTCACTTCAGACCCAAGTTTGGTCTCGGTCACAGCTACAGATTAACTTTGACATTGTTGAGTTTGAGTGCTTTGGTATTTTGTTGCGTTTATGGGTCGTATCGTCTTATCTGTCCGAGCCAAACTCCTCTCTGTAATCTGGGTGAGTTTCAGACCCGTTTAACAAACACAGAAAACATTTCTACAACACACACCAACAGGACTCAAATCAGTGGGAGAGAAATCTGTAGCGTTTTAAGGACCATATTTAAAAAAAAAAACAAGTATTTTCTCTAATTTAAAAAGTAAATTACCAATTTTTTCAAGAAATGAAACAATTGGATGAATCAACTGTTTATGGATTTTAACAAAACACTGTCAGTTTTTTTTTTTTTTTTTTTTTTTAAGGCTTTTAAGAGGTTATATTAAATTCATTCAACCTTTATTTATGCAGGTTAATCCCATTGAGCCTCAGGGACTCATTTGCAAGAGAGACCTGACGATAAAAAAATATTTGCGTCATGTGACCACTGGTCAGTATATATGCTTTTGAGCTTATAAAGCAAAACAACCTTTAAGGGATAAAACCCACACAAACACGAGGAGAACATGCAAACTTCATAGAGACAGACCCCAGATCCAAACCGGGGATTGAGCCCACGACTTTCTTTCTGTGTGACAACAGTGCTAACCACTAATCCACCATGCTGCCCACAATACCTAAATAAATAAAAAGTAAAAGAAAAAAATCAATGTGTAATCAGTGTTTGAAATGTGAGTTGGCTTTAGCGTCCCCAAGCTGACGTTTATTTATGCTTCAGGGTTAATCTTCTGTCTTCTTCAGGTACCGCCTGGCCCCCGCTCACCATTTCCCCGTCCCGTATGAAGATGTTTACCGTGTGGTCAAACATTTTCTCCAGAAGTGGGTGCTGGCCCAGTACTCAGTGGACCCGGAGCGTGTTGCTGTGTCGGGGGACAGTGCTGGAGGGAACCTTGCAGCTGCTGTCTCGCAGCAGGTACAGGATTTATGAGCTTTAAAAAACACACATATATATATAAAAAAGGTCATTTATATTTTTGTGGCTCACATAAAATAATTTTTAAAACAAGATGTCAGGAGACAATTAGCACTGATTAAAAAAAAAAAACTGCATTTCCTGGAACCACACATTTGTTTATTCTTGGCTTTCAGGAGTGATCAGCAGCCATTTGTCAGATTTGACAAAGCTTTAAAAAGACTTTTATGTCTGTTATAAAGTGCCTGTCTACTTATAAATAATGTTGATGAGCTGCTTGACAATGTTTAACACTCAGGAGGTAAGCTTGCCTTGATCCTGGCTTGAAAAGACAGATCTCAGAGCAGATATTTGTGTTCAAAGGATTAATGTTGCTTTAAACTGGAGTCAGTAATGCTCTTAATAATAATGTGGTTCCTGAATGAATAAAACAGTGGTGGAAACAGTAATTAACTCTATAATTATGTAAGTAGTACTTTCTATTAGAGCCCGACCAATAAATCAGTATAACCGATATTTTAAGCCGATACAGATGTTTGGGGACACATCGGTATCAGTGATTATTGTCCCATTATGTGTTAATATAAACACCTGGAACAAGCCGTGTCTTTACTGGCAAAAGGCGTAATTGTACAAAGTATTCGGCAGAGGGCGAATGCAGACTACTTTCAAATCATGGTCGTTCACTTTAAGTTTCACTTTCACTTCAGCCGAAGCAGCGAGCAACACTGTTTAGCGTATTTTCCTGAACAGAGCATGGTACGTTTATTTTAACTGATCTGTAAAACAATCAACAGGAATAAATTATCTTCAGTAATTATCTTAATAATAATTACCTTTTTTAATTATCTTCAACCCGCTTGTCATTAGCTACGTGCCTCTCAAGTTAGCATGCTAACAATTAGATAACCAGCATAGACTATTGCCTTGTAAAACTTTATCCGGAGCAATAAGTCTAACGTAGAGGTAAAATATACTGTATCAGTGTTAGTAACGTTATCTTTGTTGTCCTCAATGAAATGCATTGTTTGTCTAAAATCTTTACTTCGCTGCAAAGAAAAAAAGAAACGCAGCTCTAGTCAATAGTAATGAGGCCTTCACCATACATGACTGACTGTTTAAACAATGAACAGGGAAGGGTGCTACGTTGTTTAATTTATATTTTCGTAACACACTTGATAACTTTATGGTGTATAGAGGAGGATAGAAGATGTGAACACACATTAGGAAGACTGTTTCAAGACTTCACGTGTTAAAATAGGTTTAAAAGTATCTGGTTACTTTGACTCTTGGAGGTGGACAAAGCTCAAATAATGTCCTTTCATTAAATCAGTTATTGGCTTTAGCCTGCCCCTCCCAGTATCAGCATCAGCGATAGCCAAAATTTCCATATTGGTCGGGCTCTACTTTCTATGACAGTACAGCAAAAGAAAAAAAACAACTATATTTTACTTATGTTGTGTGCAGTCCACGATAATAAAGTTCTGGATGTTTCACAGTCAGGGTGAAGTGGAACAAAGCAGCTTAAGTCTCACTTTGATAAAACGTTGTCGCTATGATACTAAATGCTTCACAAAAATAGTTTGCTTAATTTTAAGGAAGAATAAAAATAGAGTTGCTTAAACCACAATGCACCAAATGAACTACGATTTGCCAAGCGGAAGTAATCTTTTACAGCGTCCTCTGCTCCGTAGTGGCCATTAACAGAGTATTGAAACCATTATCTTATCAAGAAGAAGATACATCAACGATAAATGGGTTATAAAGTATAAAATATCTTCTTGGATGCACTTACTGTTATTTTACATCATATGGTTGGTATAAATATTTGTATTTCCATTTTAGAGGCTGGTATTTGAACAGACAAGCTCACAAAATGAGAGGAGACATCTCCGCGGTACAGTGGACAAGAGGCGCATGAAGAGATAAAATGAAGGCTCAAAGAATAATCCTTAGCAGGGCAGGGAGTGCTGAAGATAATCTCTCAGGAATTTAATTTTGCAAAAGTGATCTGGGTGGAGGTTTTCGGTGAATTCTCAGATACTTTCCCTGACCTTTGGTACAGTTCACTTGATTTACAGCGTTCATTGCAACTAAAGTAGAGCTGAAAGCGCTAATCAAAGTATCGACCTATTGCAGTTATTTTAGATAATGCGCAGACTGAGAGTCTAACATGGCATTGCAGGGAAACAAGTGGTGTTTTGAGAGTTTGCTGGCTCTTGTGAAGACAAGGTAAAACAAGTCATCCAAAACCAGTGCAGGTTAATAAATAATAACCCAAATGAGTCAAGACCTTGGAGACTCCCATTGCTCCTCAAATCAGACTAGAAGCTTGTCCATTCTTTAACATTCACATGCCAGCCTCACTTTCTGAGGATGGTGCCCTCCATAATCTTTATGGTCCAAAAGGTAAATAAACATCTGGGCTTAGTTGGTACAACAGCAGAGGTTCTTTGACTTTAATGCAAACCTTTTGAGGCTGCTTGGTGAGGAATGAAAAGGAGTCCTTTGGAAGTGTCAATCTAACATAAGCCTGTCACTTTGATAACAGTTACTGTTTTAAATGTGCTATATAAATAAATGTGACTTGACTTGTCACGATAACAATGTTTGCTGGGCGATTGTTTCAGAAATTATTGCGATAATCGATAATATTGTTTGAAATTTGACAATAATTAGGAATTGTCAAATTTAAGAAGAAATGTTGGTTAATTTGTTTTGAGTGTAGTACCTTTTTTGACCACCGGATGGCAGTATAAGACTTTTAGAACCGAAGGATGGATAGTGAGGGAACGAGCAGCGTGTCTCTCTAAGAAAAATGGTAGGGAGACCCCTTGACGTGACATGGGCTGTCTCTCTTTCTTTTTTTGGTTCTCAAAACGGCAGACACTCGGTGTGGTTTGAGCTCTTTAGCATAGTATTTTTCACACAAAGCTTTTAATAAAAATGAATAAAAAGTTCTCAGCTTCTTTTTGCAAAGAAAAACAACTTTTTACAGGAAGGCACAGGTTTCAACTGTGAATTTTGGCACTTTAAGAAGACGGAGGTTTTTTCCTGCGGTCGGCCTGTTAGCTTAGCTCGTAGCTTAGCTTCTCAGCTTAGCTGCTTTTAATGATCCAAAAATACGATTTTGAACAGTTAAAATGGATTTTAAAGAGAAAATAGAAAGGGAGGGGTCAGTGAAGAACCCTGGAAATGAGTCTTTTGTCATCCAGTGTCTTCAGTAGAAAGAGAGAGGCACGAAGAAACGATAAAGCCGATAAAAGAAAATGAGGTCGATAATTTTCATTTATCATGCGATTAATTTATTGTTTATTGCGACAGGCCTAATCTAACAGTGTTTATTTGCTAGGTTTTTTGTCACACATAGACACAAGACTGGTTAATTTGAATAGATCAATGTTCACAGAAGTGGGATTAATGAACATAATTATCTTACCTGTTGTAGATAGCTCTTTGAACAACCATACGTTAAAACAACATTTTAATTCTGAGCTAATGGCTAGTGAAAGTAGAGCCAATACCAACGTGGGCTGCAGACTTTAAAACAACTCCAGTATCAATATTAGTGGTTTGTTCAAAATCTGATTTTTTTTTAAACCTTTAAACTACTGTAAATGTTGCATTGCACCTTCATTTTACAGAGAAAATTACCGGTATTTGCAAGCTCAACTAGAGGCTTGCAGCAAGGCTTGCTGTAGCATTAGTGGTGTAACCAAATTCACTTCCTGCAGAAATGTCGAATTTTTACCTTTTCACTTTTTAACTGTACTTTTTTAATTTTTGTACTTTTCATGATTTCCATTTTACAAATATATTATATTTTACAAATGGCAATATTAATAACTGACCATTTTAAAATCCATTTTACAATTGATTATTAAAATTATTATGAGTATTAAAATATTATATTTTACAAATGACAATAAACAAGCTTGATTCCAACAGTTAATGCTAAAAGCTTTAACCAAATAATTTATGTGCTCTATCGATGATGACCGTCTCAGAATCATATTTTAGATGAATAGGCACAAACATGACTTGTAGCAATTTCTGTGTTTGCTAAGGTTGATTAGTTATGACAGCCATCTTGAATAAGGTTCCAAAAGTTGTAAATGTACATTTGATTATTAATTTCTGGGAGTTTTATTAAAATGCATCCAGTGGTTCACAAGATAATTTGTTCAGTCGGACCCCCCTCACCCCCACCCCCCCACCCAAGCAATAACATAATACCCACCTTTCATCTTTACAGGTGATCAGGATGGTGACTAAACTTTTTATTCTCAGCACCAGTATGGTTTTATCTAATTTATTTTGTCTTTAAAATTGGTTCAATGACCATCCAGCCAGTGCAAAATATTGTAGTCCAGAACTTTTTCTGAGAACTGTGCTGACAGCATTTTTAGTCGACAGATGAGCCGTCCTTATTTCAGTTGCATCTATTCATAGGCCACAACTGGCACTGTTAAACCTCTAAAATACAACCTTTCACTTCTCTTTTAAAATGACACCAACCTATTTTTGTCTTTTTTTCACAGTTGCAAAATGAGCCTGCTCAGCAGATTAAGTTAAAGGCTCAGGCGCTCATCTATCCCGTCCTGCAGGCGCTGGACCTCAACACGCCATCATACCAGCAGAATCAAGACATGCCCATCCTGCCACGCACCCTCATGGTTCGATTCTGGAGCGAGTATTTCACCAGAGACAAAGCCCTGTTCAGAGCCATGATGGCAAACACCCACAACAGCCCTGAGTCTTCCAGGCTGTTCAAGTTCATCAACTGGAGCGCCCTTTTACCAGAAGCATACCAAAAGGACTACAACTACAGTGCTCCTTCAGTGGCGCAAGGGATTGGAGGGGAGGCAGCTGGGATGGATGGACCTTTTAGGTCTCTCGCTGACCCGAGGGCATCCCCGCTTTTAGTTCCTGATGCAGATTTATTCCCTCTACCCAAGGCCTACGTTCTGACATGCGAGTACGATGTTCTTAGGGATGACGGGATCATGTACGTCACACGGCTCCGCGCTGCCGGAGTCCAAGTGACCCATGAACATTACGACACGGGGTTTCACGGAGCCGTGATGTTCACCGTGTGGCCAACTGACTTTCTGATTGCTCGTCGCATGACAGACAACTATATTAAATGGCTCAGAGAAAACTTGTAAAGCTCGAGTACTTCCTCCTGTGTTCCTGCACCGTGGCGCTGACGATCAGTTGTGTGCACATTTTTCCAGTGTGGTGTTAAACTGCTTTTGATGTACGTCTGTGGTTATTCACATTTTTTTTGTGTGTAAATATACATCACTCTTGCAACTTATGCATTTTGCTACATACAGTAAATACAGTTCAAATATTTGATTTTTAAACGGTAATCTTCTTATTAGGTTGTTTGACGCAAGATGATACATTTTTCATCGTCAAAGCATTGCTCTTGCAAACAAACACCACATTAATGTCTAAATTAAACTGTAGATTGTTGCAGTAGTATTGGGAGTAAAATGTTTAGCACGTTAGCTTGTGCTGAACATTGCTTCCACCACAGGACCTGCTAGCTGATCCAGTGTTCATTGTATCATTGTTGGCACCAGCAGGATGTCATGTGACCTCCTACAGGGATTTAACGTTTCGTCCCTGAAGCAGGGAAGGATTTTTGAATCTAAATGTTTGGCCAGTGTTAGCGAATATCTTAGAGTTCCCCTCTTGCTGAAATCTATGTGTGGAGTTTGACTAGCTGCAAATCAGGAATGCTTTTGTATCCAAATCAAAGAAGTGATCTTTGTTGAAACTTCTTTACATTTAATCATGATAAGTCGGTGAAATTAGATTAAATACATTCCAATACAAAAGGCCTAATATTAAACTACTTATGCATATTGTTGTTAATGTTAGATGAGTATAATATTATACGTATGTTAAAGAAATGACTAGTTTTTACGAGCGAGTTTGGTTTAAAGTAAAGATTTGGAGCCTTATCTTTACATGCGATCAAAAATCATTACAGTCTGTACGTTAACCTCTTTCTTTGCTCAAATATAATTTTATTTTAATATAGCACAGTTGGCTTTAAATAGGTTGACCCCCCCCCCCCTCAGCAAATAAGGTTGCTTATTATAAAAAAAATTAAAAAATGCTTATTGAGTTTAATAGTTCAATTTGGCAAACTAATTCCTTTGAGGCCTGGTGATGACATAGAGCATAAAACAGAGTTTAGATAGAAGATTTAATGACTGATAATAAGAACATAAAATCACCTCCGATTTCTGTTTATATGAGGCTAACTTGCTTGTTTTAGTTGGCTGAACAACACCGTGACCATGTTTCCTGAAATAATGTTTAAAATATTCACATTTTGTGATTTTTATTTTTGTCAACAGATGAGATCATCCTGCTTTTCACATGAAGGCAAGGTCATTGGTTTTGTAAATATGACCAAGATTCGCTGTTTCAGAAGAGCTGCAGTTGAATATGAAACAGCTATGGGCTGGTTTTTAGCTTTATGCTCATTTGAAAGTCATTGCGAGAACTTGTGAATAGCTTGTTTTTAGCACTGATACATTCTTCATGTTATATATTATAAAAGCTTAACTGCATGGATGTTTTGGTTGGACACTTCTCCATTCTCACATGTAAATATGACAATATTTTCTTTTGGTCTATCTGATGGAAAACCTTTTGGCATCTTTTTTTTCTAATTTTGTGTTACGCAACAATAAAATGACTGGACGTTTTGCTGATGATTAACTGTATTTTAATCATGTTTTATTTGACGAGGGAATGTCGTGATAGAACAGAAGAAAAATATTAAAAGTTTCCTGTTATGGTGAACACCGCATGTAAGATAAGATAGAACTTTATTGATCCCGCAGGAAATTGTTGTGCCAGAGTTTTAGTGCAAAGGAATATACACAAGGAATCACACAAGACAAAAAAATAATAATAGAGAATATAAAAATACCAACAATTAAGGTGTAAAACAGGTCAGGTGCTGACAGAAACGTTAAAGAATTCATTGTGGTGAAGGATAAATTTTATTGTCATACTTTTAATGAAAGGGGGAGGAGTTGAAAAGTCTGATAGCCACAGGGAGGAAGGACTTCCTGTTCTGTGGAGCACCTCGGTGGTCTCAGTCTACGTTGTAGAAGGTTGATGCGGCTCTGGACACATTTAGTGAGTGAAGGTGTAAAAATATCTCTACTTTTAACATAAAGGTTGCAGACCCGTGTTCTAAACAGACCCTCATGTACTTATAGCAGTCCACAGTGTCCACCTTAGTACCCTTAATATTGATAGGGTTGGGGGGGGGGCTGATCTTCTTCCTGTAGTTCACCTGCAGCTCTTTAGTTTTTCCAACATTGAGTTGCAGGTGGTTCTGTCCACACCACTCCACAAAGCTGTCCACCACACCTCCATACTCAGCTTTGTGGTCACCAGTGATGCAGCCCACAATGGCAAAGTACAGTATATATATATATATATATATATATATATATATATATATATATATATATATATGTATATATATATATATATGTATATCAACCTTTATTTAGACAGGTAAATCCCATTGAGCCTCGAGGACTCATTTACAAGAGAGACCTGATTTCAACAAAGAAAGATGACAACAATGGACAACAGCAACAACAATAAACAATTATACAAAGTCATACTGCAGGGTTTTTTTTTTTTTGTTTTGTTTTGGTTTTTTTACAAATAGGATGGCTAAAAGGAAAAGGTAACAAAAAAACAGCTAGATTCTAAGGCAAATGTAGAAAACTAAAAACAGGAACATGTCTGCATTGGTCCCTGCCAGGAGTCTAACAGATTCTTAAAGCCACTTAGAGAGGTCAAGGTCGAGAGCTTCAAATCTTTTTGTAATATATTCAGGAGCGGAGTATACGTATATAGTGTATATATATATATATATATATATATATATATATATATATATATATATATATATATATATATACACGTGTGTGTGTGTGTGTGTGTGTACAGTATATTCTTGGCATACAGCAAGAAAACAAAATCCTATATGGACTGGCTCAGACAAACTGTCCTTGGTGAGTGTTGGATCATTTTAAGGTTTAGGGTAAAGTTAGTTGAGTACAATTAAAGTGCAATTAACATATAAACCTGCACCAAAATCTACTTGTAATCACATTCTTACCCATTAGGGAGAAAAAAGTATACAGATGTATAAATGCAAATACTAGAATAAGAGAAAAAGAGCAGCATTTACTAGGAGACATAAAAAAATCCAGCCAGGGATTGTTGGTGGTGTGGTACATGGAAGCTATGCAGTCTGCCAGAAAAATCAGGAGAGAAGACCAGAGTATTTGAGAGCTTTTGAGTGAAAGTGAAAAGCTGCCAAAACAAAGGAGTTAACAAAGTTGTATAACATTCCCTGGTATGAGACATAATTTGCAAAAACATGTCTACAAATCAGCTAAATCCCTTTAATTCCCTGCTCTAAGCCATCCATCCATGTTTGGGTCTTGGCTGAAGTCCTGACACATCTTTTGAAACCATAAAAACTCTTCTGAAAACACAGAGGAGCTGTCTCGAGATGAAATAAGGAAATCAGCTGACTCCCCTCAAAAGACCAGTAGGTATTTCACAACAACACCCAACAAGCAAGGATGTGAGTCAGTGAATTAATTCACCTTTTCAAACATTAAATATAATGTAGTTCAAATAAGAGATATTAGGGAGGGATAATCTGATTATAAAATACTGTTTTCTTAGCATTTAAACTGACTGAACATTTCCCAATCGTTCGATAGAAAACTATTTTGTTTTTGTCGTGCCGCACATTGTTTCATTTCACTGTGCGCTGTGTCTAAAACCAAATGATACATTTATGTGGAAAACAAGGACCTGCTCACAAATTGAAAAAAAAGTTTTAATTTGTGTGCTTTGACCCTTTTTAATTTTTTTAACCATACTTATAAGAGACACTAAATGAAAAAAATAATTCTATAAACAATATTTCGTCTAAAATTTGTTAAATAAAATGTATCACTGTTTTATCACAACTTTTAAAGTGGATTTGTTGCAACCGTATTAAGTAGTAAAAATTAAGTTCTGTATTTACCCAAAGTAAAGGAAGGAGGATAAATTACTGATAGTGATGATTTTGATAGAGTCGGATGAAACATAATAAAATATGACAAAGTCCATGCTCAATAATAAAATAATAATAAAATATGCCTTTTAAAATAACAAGACTAAATCGTATCTTAGGATTTACTCAATTCTTTCACATTTATTAACAAAAAAAAGAACAGTCTGCCATGTTAGTTTATAGTCTTACATTAAAAGTTATACAGTTCAGTATTATTCATAAATTTACAATTATTAAAGGAACTGTGAGATTCATGAACACCTTTCATTCGTTTTCAGATAACAATCATAACTCTTTTTAACATCTGATAGAAAAAAAATATATAGGTTCAAACACAGTACCTAAAGGAAGGCTTTTACCTTAGCAATACATCTATCCATTATATGTGAAGCTTAGACAAAATTGTCATGTAATCAGAGTAATATGCACTAGACAATACAATTACATTATACAGTACATTTTGAAAGTATTAAAGTTGACACAACATTAAAAACAGAAAGTGAATGTACACATTGTGATTAAAAAATATGCCTATTTATATAATTTCTGTTGGGGTTCTGTGGAAAACCTGTACAGTGAACATTTTCTCAGTTGTATAGCCTTTAGAATTTTAATCTGATTGACGAGCGAACAGCTAGTCTGAACTGAACGTAGATTAAAGTGGATTACTGCTTTCCTAAAACACGTCCAATGAAAAAGTCACTTTGGTTTAATCACTTTGAAGGCGTTTTTATATAAATCTTTCTTTGCTGTCAATTTT